TCAACTAACAAAAAGCTTTTTTTTTTTTATCCGCTTATAATATATTATATATTTCCGTTTTCTTATATTTCCTCGATTCTGAAAAAATGTAAAGTTTCGTCTATCTATTTTATGCAATAGAAATCAAATTTTTATACTTTCCTTTAGAATTTTATCAATAAAAATGTTCAAAAAGAAACAAAAAAAGTAATTAAAGTGTTTCTAATTAGAGAAAATTGAATATTAAAACTGTGTGTGAACTGATTAAACTGAAATGATTAAATATAATTAACAGAATATTTAACATCAAGAAGAATATGAAATATTTACAAGATTCAAAACACTGTATAAAAATATCTATATATATATCGAACACCCTGTATATATATATATATAGACTTTCAATGTTCTCTGCAGATGACGATCAATGACAGATTGCACTTTCGGTTAGGGTTCCATTACGTCGGAGTGCTTAAAACATTCAACTATAAATCATTCAGGTAAGTTACTTACCTGAGTGTTACTAAAACTTTAATCTTTTATATCTCATTCCTTTTTTTTTTATTCTATTACGAAGTACTTGACATCTAATTTTAAGGTTTATACAATAAAAATAATTATTTAAACAACACACTTTGTGTTTGATATTTAAAATTACTTACATAAGTAATAAAAAAAGGTTCAATAATGATACTTATAATATTAATCCTTTCATACTGAATTTTGTGTTACTTTAATTATCACCAAAAATATTATACTGGTAATTAAGTAAATCTTACAATAGAAATAATAAAAAAGAATGATATCTTTTAATTAAATAATATACATATACTGTATAATGTATACGTGTATGCATTTACAAATTAATACAAAAATAAGTCAATGATCGAATACCGTAATAAAATAAAAATGAAATAAATATGAACAAAAATCCTGACAATAATTTACTCCAAAATAAAAACGTGTGTCAAATTTGAATAAGTTCCAAAAGATTTATCGAATATGTATTATTATTATATACGTGTATTATTCTTTCTGCTCTGTGTATGTGTATGTGTATAAGTGTGTTTGATAAAAAGAAAAACGAAAAATATATTGAGACGTGTAAAGTTTGGTAAGATAATGTCACGTCAGGCTTAATTGGATTGGAATAATAACGATCTGTGTGATCGAAAAAAAAGGTAAAGGGGTAAAAGGGGGTTGGTGCTGGCAAAAGAAGGCAAGAAACGTTCTTAAACATGAACGAGTGAATCAAATCCTGTGTGTATGTGTGTGTGTATGTTTCTCTTGCTTAACACCCTGGCATCCATAATTGCATAAAGCCTTAGCCGCTCCACTTGATTAATGCAATCGGTGATAGCGAAAATGAGAATATAGAGTAGGAATATTCGTTATGTTAGTGTATTCAAAAAGAAAATAAAATAAAAGAATGTGAGAGTATCTCGATTATACTTTTAATGTTTAAGAATTACGATAGTATTGATTACTCATGCATCGCGGAAACAGATTTATTCAATTTAACATAAATCAAGATTTTCATATTGTTAGATTATGGTATATATATATAATTATATAATCATTTATTTGTGTTATAGGAAATATTTGTGGTGTTTTCTTCTACTCATTTTTTTCAATAAAGATAACAATTTTGATTTATTATATATATGTGATATATAATAAAATAATAAGAATTATTTGTCATTTAAAATAATAAATGTTAAAAATTGATTTATTATATATATTGAATAATAATATAATATATGATTTATATTTTGAAATAAATTTCTCATTAATATTTTATGTATAAAATGATTATATTTGATTACTATACTAACCAACCTATATTATATATAACACGTTTCTCCAATAAAACCAATAATAATATATTCCAATATATCAACAAACATACTATCTGTTCAACTTATCAAACATGAGAGACGAGTATGTTAGCAATGCGTTAGAGATCTTGAAATACAATCTGGATCTTGATTTTCAATTACGCTAGTACGATTCCCTAACACAATGTTCGATCGTACGAATCACGTTTATCTCACGTTTCTACGATAGAAAGTTTAATAAAAATGACGTTTACAAGCAACTACCTTGATTTCTCTTACCTGGGAACGGAAATTAAAATTGAAAAATGATAATAACGATAAACGGGGGAATAAAAAAAAAAAGAAACAAAGTAAAACAAAACATACAAACAAACGAACGAACAAAATACAAATAAATAAATAAATAAATAATAAATAAATTTTAAATTGAAGAACTGCACCGAGTTATTTGTAAATGTAAGGCGTCGATAAAACCACAGCGTCGGAACGAGTCGTAGGTCTAATCAGCTTTGCAATTAACGTACGAGTTTCCAATTAACGAAGGCTCCGACCATCCTGATTTCATTTCATTTCATTTCATTTTATTTATTTATTTTTCTTTTTTTCTTTTTTTTGTAAAATACGTAAGTAAGGAACTGTGTGTGATTTCTCGTGGGTGTACTTACGAGAGAAACTTATTCAAACGGCATCTTCAACGAACTCGACTTATTATCTATCGGCTAATGTTTTAATTACGATATATAAATATTTTTTTATCCCCCTTTTTTCCTCCTCCACCCCGGCACGTTCGAAGTTTATTTATAATTAATTGATGGGAAACGAATGAAATAAGTCGACAACGACTACGACGTATTATTTCATTTGTTTTGATCGTCTTTTTTTCTTTTCTTTTCATTTCATTGGTTCTTTCATCTCCGCCATTTTGAATCGCGGTAATCGGCCATTTTGATGTTGTTTAGATATCCGATTAGTTTCTTTTTCTTTTAAACTTTGGATATATAACTTTAATGCATTCAATTGTTAACAAGAGATTTGTTAAAATTTGACAATTGTTAATCAATCCCCACCCCCTCAACAATGATCGTACACGATTACCAAACGATTAATAGTCGGGCGTGTAACTTTTTAACAATAATTAACCAAGTGGGAAATTTTCAAATCTGACGAGGGAGAACAATGAAAGAAAATTCACGTAAGGAAGAAGGATTGGGGGGTGTTTAAATAAAAGGGAAAATGTCGAGATTTACTTTCGGAGTTTGATTACAGCAAAGACACGGAAACTAGGGAAAGGGAAGGAACGAATTAAAGAAAGAAATCAAAAATAAAGAGAGAGAGAGAGAAAAGGAAATTAAAGAAAGGGTGAAAGGAGATATGAGAAAAGGGAAGGAACAGAAAGGGGAGTCCATAAGTCAGTATACGAGGCGGCACGAATAGTCTGAGATATCCACTGAGGAACGATCCTGTGCTGCCTTATCCTGTGCTGATCTGGTCGGATATTATAGGTCGGTGAATGTGGAAGGGAGAGAAGTTTCAAATAAAACTAACGAAAGAGAAAGAAAGAGAATTACTTAAGTTAAAGTAAGCAAGCGAGCAAGCAAGCAAGCAAGCAAATAAGCAAAAATAAAAAAAGAAACGAACAAAAAGGTAAGAAAAAAAAAACAAAAAGGCCAATAAAAGACTCGGTGAAAATTCAAAGCTGCAGCAAGTTTTGGGGCGGTGTCTGACGATACTTGTCCCGTCCTACCTCAGCATCGGGAATCGAACCAAATGAAAGGAAAGGCCCCCGTTTAAAAGAGGGTCCCTTCTTCTTGGGTAGTAGTAATTCGAGTTAAACGCGGGGGCGTATTGAACTCCGCCTCCGAGGATTTAACTCGAGCTTTAGATACGAAACATAGTAACGCCTTCTTTCCACCTTTCCCCCTGTTCCCCAGACCCAAAGGTGTATAAACCACTTAGCTCGATTCCCACCTCCAATACCCACCTAAACTCCCCTTGTTCAGGTTATGTTTAAGTCATTCTCTTTCTCTCTCTCTCTCTCTCTCTCTTTCTCTCTATTTCTCTCTCTCTCTTTACCGTCAGACTCTTCGCCATCTCCTTAACATTCGGTTAAACTCGGTTAAATTCGTTCACATTCGTATTAACTTCTCCGGCCTCCAACAGTCAACTCCAGCCTACTCCGGCCTTCTTCAGCCCTACCCTCTAACCGCCTTTCTCCTTGATCATTTTCTATCTCTCTCTTTCTTACTTGTGGTTTCGTTCACTCTTCTCAACCCAGCCAACTGGTGCTACGAGAGAGGTGACTGTCCAGGACAGTTTCTGAGCTGCAGTCATCGACTGCACCACGTCCAGTGCGTCTCTTCTGCTGCTGCTGCTGCTGCTGCTGTTACTGCTGTTACTTGCTGTTTTAATACTACTGTGCTATTATTATTAAATACTATTATTATTATTATTATTATTCTTTTTTTTTTATTATTATTACATTCGAAATAAATATAACAAATTTTCATTGATTATATTTTGTGAATAAGTTACAATAAGTCAATAAGACGTTTTGTTTTGATACGTGATTAAATTAAAATAAGAAGAGAGGAATAGTAGTAGTAGTAGTAGTAGTGTATCATATTGTTTCAAGGACAATGATGGACTTATTGGATATATATCAGGATTTTGTTTGATAAATTTATTGTGAACGCGAGATTATTATATTACAATATTCGGTGTTTTTTTGTTTGTTTTTTCTTTCTTTCTTTCTTTTTTTTTGTTATATATAAACTTCGTGGGTGTAAAAGAAAGATTCAGTGATTATTTCTACGATTGGTTATTTTTTTTTAAACTAACTATATGAGAAATTATTTATTCGTGGGAAATGTGATATTTGTGATAAACTGGTTGTTGTCATTATAAACTCTTACTAAGAGACATTATCAGTTATCTGCGATGACCCACTATGAAACTGGACCTTTCAGAGTGATATATTCTAACTCTTGATTGTAGATATTTAAGACGGAACTTAAAAAAAAAAAAAACTAAGAACAAACTCTGCGTGACTTTCTGTCTTTTTAATCACAAAAATTCAAACCATGTTCGATGATATGGAAATGATTTAAACAAAACAAAAAAACAAAAAACAAAAATCAAAAAGAAAAAGAAGAAAAAGAAGAAGAAGAAGAAGAAGAGAGAAAGACAATACCAATAATAATATCGAGTCAGTGTTTTATTCATTATTTCGATGAATAGTCAAAAAAACGCGGAACAAATATTTTAGGCCTAAGTCTCATCCTAAATCATAAACGAAAAAAGGATATTATTATTAGTGTATCTCTAATATCGATAAAGTGACTTATTATTATTTCAACATAATTTCTATCGATAAATCAGATAGAATCACTATCATTGTTTAAAACATTGTTTCAAACCTACTGGAACGAGAATGCCGAGTTTCGACTGATTACACGTAAGTTTTAATACCCCTTTTAATATTATATTATTATTTGTCATCCTAACGATCCGTGACTATCTAAATGATTCCTTTCGCTTTGTCAGATAATTTGACAGATCGTTATTGATAAGTAACAATTTTCGAGAGAACATTTTGTTTTAAACGATACATTAATGTCATTGTCATAGGTATACATCTAAGCGTGAAAGTTATGGATACTAACTAATGCGAGTTTATTCTAAAGTAATTAATGAGAAACAGTATTCCAATATTAAATAATGATACAACTTGGTGATATAAGATTACTAAATGATGATTAAAAGATATTGTTGTTGTTGTTGTTGTTGTTTTTTTTTTGGTTTTCTAAGAAAACTAATTCGCGGCAAAAAATTGCAAATTTTCTTTACTGCTGTAAGCTAATAATATAATAAGAAATAGTAAAAATTGTAGAAATTCTACGATAAAATTAAAAAACAGTCAAATAAATGAATTAATTAATTTTACAATATATAATTTAAAACAATATAATCATCTATAATGAATATAAAAATATTGTACTGAAAATAATCCAATAGTATAGAAAATTTCTTAAAAATGCGTATACCTGATATCGAACAAAATATTTCAAATAATAATAATTATTATTGAAAATTATATTAGAGAACGTTACCACAAAAAAACAAAAATATCTGCGATTGGGGGAGAGAGTCAAAAATATGAAAACAAAAAAAACCAAGTATGATTCGACGATCAAGAAAGTTTGAAAAGTCCGCCATTGCGTTATAATATCACCCAACCCAGATATTTTTCTACTCTAAAAAAAAGAAGTATAACTTCAAAAAAAAAAAACAAGAATTCTTTGTTTTTCTTTTTCTTATAAGTTGCTCGTTCGGTAGCCCTTGTTTTTAAATATGCGTTGATTCGGAATACACCTTAACGCACCGGCGGCAATTAAAAAAAACTCGGCCTTTGAAAAAGGCCAGTCGCGAGTCGTCGTCCGCCATCATTCCGTTCGTTCGAGAACTGCAATAAAGATTAACCTGCTACTTTTAATCTTATACTTTAGAAAAAGAAAAAGAATAAGAGACAGTAAGAGAGAGAAAAAAAATATTCTACAGTGGGGGGGTGGGGGTTATACTTGTAAACTGAAACGATATGCCGAAAAATAAGGGAGGGGAAACAAAAATTGTATTTTATAAGAAATTCATTTTCCCGCCAAAACAATTTCTAATTGGCAATCTCGGATTGGACGGACGGACCGCGCCATATTGAATTCGTCGCGAAAGAAATTATAGGTTAATGTTACTTATATTTTTTAAATCAATCTTCTTTTCTTTTGGTTTTGTCGTGTGTTTTTTGTTTTTCTTTATCTTTCTTCTTCTTTTTCTTCTTGATAATTCTTATCTCCTTTTCATTTTTCCTTTTTCTGTCTGTCTCAGTTTTGGTTATAGTCAATAAAATCGTTAATAACGATTACTGTTAATGGCAGTATCTTCGCGAGATAATCGTAATAAACATAGAATAAGTAGTGCATTTTTATTTTTTCTCTGTTTTCTTTTTTTTTTTTCCACGCATACTTGCATTCTTAAAAGCAATCCTTTGTAAACATTCTCGGATAAACTCGGGGCGTTGTAACGAGCATGAAAAATTTTTCAATGGTTCCACATCACGCAATTTCGTTAAAAGAAAAAAGAAAAAAAAAATCTTTTTCCATATCGCGATTAACGAAAAAAGAAATTAAAACAAAAAAAAAGAAAATATTATTCTGATAAAATATTATCAGACATAAGGCAAGCGAGGACACGAAATGAAATTTCTATTTCTGACAAAATCTTATCAAAAATTATAACATATATATATGAATAATTATACACGTTTTTCGGTATACATATATTATTTTCATGTACGATAAAGTGTACGTATAATTTAACGCAATTTAAAAAAAGAAAATAAAAAAGAAAAGAAAAGAAAGAAATATTTATAAAACATGATAGTAAAACAAATATAAAACGAAAATTATATCGTTGAATATCGAGTATTTAAGAAATATCATTAATTTACAAAATTATAAATTCCTTCCGTTGTAAGTAAAATCCTAAAACAAATTTATAAAAAATACAAAACAAAATTAATATTTGATAATTGAACAATCGTATTATATCATACACTATATATATATATATATATATATAATCGTTTAAATTTATAAGAAAATTCTGTTCCATATATGTCGAAAGAAAAATTCTACAGACAGAAACCCTAACACATCGAGTACTATGATAAAACACTGTTATACCAAAGTTAAGATTAATTCATCGTTGTGTGTAGGTGGAAAAACGATGTTAGAAAGTGTGAACGATAAGACTCCATGAATAATAAGTATAATATACTAATACACATGTTTATAAATGTATATGTATATTACGTATACGTATATACTAACAACATAAGATTAAAACTAATAAATAATTGTATGATGAAGCATCGAGACATGCCGGCACCGGCATTGTTTAAACACATTTATCTAAATAGTTACTTCCCGCAGAGACCGCAAAAAGATGTAGATTACAACTATGATTATCTAGGTGTATGTGTATATCCTACGTACACGCATATACCTACATATATACTAATCCATCAATTATAATATTTCTCTTTACTCTACTTTCTATTATAATTATTAATTTTTAATATACATTTTTTTATTATTATTACTGAGATTATATTCATAACAACGATTGACAATCATATCATCGTTTTTTTTTTTTTTATATCGTTGTTGTCTACTTTATACAAGGTTTATACTATCTCGTTTAAATCTTGTTTATTTATTTACGATTACCTAGAACGCAAAAAGTGTATCAAATTATATGAGAATGACGAAGAAAAGGAAAAAAGGTGATAATGATTCACGAGGATAAGAAAAAGAAAAGTATTTCATTTACTTTGAACAAACATTATAGAGAATCGAAGAAAAAACACAAATTCATTATTTATAATTATATTCAAATGCATTATATAAATTGTAATGAAGAAAAAAATAATAAGGTATACCTTTTCTACTCTAACAGAAATATTTGATTTGTAAAAGAAAATGAAAAGATACTTCGATAAGAAGAACCGATCCACGTAAAAGCAAAAAAAGAAAAGGATGAGAAGAAGATCCTTCGATATTTTTTGACGAATACAAATTGATCGAATTAACAGGATATAATACGAGAATAGAAATAATGATTAAGATATCATTATGTTCACGAATAGTAAGAGAAATGAATTTAATTTGAATAAATAAGTTCGATATTTTTGATTAAATTCAATGACACGAATTATTCGATTAAGCAAATATTCTTTTTATATTCGCTAAAAATACATACACACACACACACATACGTGTTGTAAATATTAAAACTTTTCAAATGTCATTTGTAAGGAAATTAGAAAGTAAAAAAAAAAATTATTTGTAAGTAGAAGAAGAAGAAGATGAAGAAGAAGAAAGAAGAGGTGGAGAAAAATATAAAAAAATACAAATAAGAAATAAGCAAAAGCAATACATTAAAAGTCGGACGATAAATTATCCCATAATTGGTACGAAGCAATACCAATGCGGCGTTCACTTCGCATTTACAACAACTTTACATTGCAAATTGTGTACGCATGCGTGCGAGTTTGTTCTTTTAATAAGACGCATAAATTGGTCGTCCTCTATTTTCTTTTTTTTTCTTTTTTTTTTTTTTTTTTTTTTTTTTTTTGAATTATATACAAATTCAGCACGATATACCAATCTCACATTTGATATTATTTTTTTCATTATTAAATTATTTTATAAATATTATTTTTTATTGAATAATTAAATTATCTATTCACACACACACTAGTGTGTGTGTGTGTGTGCATGTAAATGAGTCTTGTTCTATATTTCACATTTAATAAATATTATATTTATCTATAAATATATGTTTGGCAAAGACAATGACTGCGCTAGAGTAATTTTCAGTTTTTTATCAAAAGGAAAAAAAAAGACGAAAACAATTGTTTCCTTTGAATCGTATAACGTGTAATTTTGAGTAATTTCTTATCTAAACGGCCATCTTTACGGGTGACTTGCCTATTCGCAAATTATTCTTCTTTTTTTTTTTTCTTTTTAAACGAATTTACTAGACACTCATTTTTAAATTTTATCTACGATTAAAAATATTTTTAGAAAAAAAGAAATATTCATTTTTGTAATAATTCCCGGGTTATAATTAAAAATGAAATTTATAATAATAAATCTTCAAATTTTTGTTTTTGCATTCACAACGATAAATAAATGAAATAAATAAATAATTTTAATAGTAAAAGGGAGTATAGTGATCGTCACTATACGAATACATAAAATAGACTATGAAATTCATATGTTGTGCACATGATATCACTCGAAACTATCAAACCAAAAAAAAAAAAAGGAAAAAAAGGAAGGGATACGAAGCAGAGGAAACATTTGTTCTCGATGATAAAAGTTCTACCAATCATCAAATTTATATACTTCTATATAAATACTTTATTTAATTAAATTCGGTTATTATCTTTCAATCGTTTCTACTATCAATTCATTTTATAAATTAACACAATGAACAATATAGAAAACAAAAAAATATCTTGAAAACGTTATTAACATTAGATGCAAATAAATTTCGAAAAAAAGAAAGTAAAAAAAGAATAAAATGTTCGTAGGTTTAAGTTTTTCGATTAAAAATAAATCCAATAAAATCGCGAACTCTTTCATTTTACTGATATGAAGGGTCTGTTCCCTTTGCAATCGTTCACGTGTTACTACCTATCTACCTTTTATTATACTATTCATTATTAATTAAACATAATTTTAATTAATATATAATAACTAAAATAATTATTATAATATAGAAAAATATATTATATTACTTATGAGTAACACTAATTAATTTGCGAAAAAAATAACTAACAACAAATTTACATTATATAAGATAAGCAAAAATTATCTATATTAACAATAAAAT